ATTTACACTGCCAAAATGTTGCAAAAAAATGCCCGTTATTCAGGATATCAAATCACGTTATAATTTGTCTCCATAAATACCCTGAATGTTTCTGATGGACAAAATCAGGCAAATGAATCATAGAAAATATGTTTGCAATCATTCCTAAGAGTAAAATGACAAAAAGGAGAAACTATAAGAAGTGTGAGAAATTCTACTTGTAGAGCCACATAATTATACTTCTCAATAATTCTCTGAGATACTCAATAAAATGTTTTTAAAAAAGTGTGACTGATAATGCTGGATCATTTCCAGTGGTGATTGCTCAGCTTCTCTCGGTGGTTTTAGTGCATTTATCTGCCAATGAACTGCGTATGAAGTTAGCTGATTCTAAGCAGCAGAGTATCTCCTACTTTGAGAAGATAAAGTGCTTGATTAAATGAAACCTCTCCACATCTGACAGGCAGAGAATCTGTTCTGCAAGCATTGATTTCTGTGCTCGGCTCAAAGGAGCTCAATCTTTTGACTTATTACTTTTTTTCTGATAAGATGTGATAGATTTTTGGATAGTGACTTCACTGACAAAACCATTTTTTTTCTTAAATCAGACATGCCAAATAAGTCTTAAACCATGAAACCACTAAGTGCTTGAATGACTTCATTATTTGTTATGAATGCCTTGTTTTTATTTCCACATTCCACTCCGTCACACAGTATTTACCTCTAAGTCCCTGAAGCCACATTATATTTACGATTTATGCTTCACAACTCGTTCATTTTTAACCATTTTATTTAGGATACCACCGTTTTTCATTTATAATGCTCTGTGTTCTCTTCATATTTTACGGTGTTGCCCACTTTATGTTCGTTTTCTGTCAGCTCCCTATCATAATACAGTACTCACACACAAGAACTAATTGTGGATACTGGTTGATAAATATACACTGAAAACTATGTTTGACCGTACAATTGTAAGGCAGTTGCATAATTATTGCATTTGGAAGGAAGGCTGAAAGGCATGACTGACACAAACATGCAATTCAGTCAGCAGTATAATATAAATAAACCCTTCTTTATATCTACTAATTGCAGCATCTAATTGTCTCATTAGCTCTGATCATCCCTGATGGTCAATTAGAACCCATGAAGCCCAGCTCTGAMAATGTGTGTTGTTTAAACTAAACAAAGCAGACAAATGATGTGACTCATGTTTTCCTACAACTCAGTGGTTCTCAAGCTGTTGTGTTCAACCCCTAGAGGGTCATTACATGGTATTTTTATTTTGGTATAGTTTTTTGGGCCTTAAAGTTAACACTGCAGYTAAAGTTTTGTCATGAACCAGGAAAGAGTGAAAATGGCCGGTGGTTTGAAGAGGGCCTCGTCAGCTGGAGCCCGACGAGGTGAGTTTTATCTCTTTAACAGAGAAAAAGTTTTCCAAAGGGATTGCAGTCCAGGTGAGAAAMTTTCATCTCACCACTGGACATCCGCTCCTTGYGTGGTTTGATTTCAGTCAGGAACCTTTTCAGATGATTTTCTATGAGCTGTGGAAGCTTTAGCAGTTGGGAGAGCYGCTTCGGCAGGAATGTGGTGGAGTCTGAGGCCGAGGGTGGTGAGGCCTAGAGAGTGGCTGGGAACGACTGGCTGCGATGGGCTGTTAAGAGCTGCTTTGGTGGGAGTGTGGTGGAGACTGAGGCCRAAGGCTGTAGAGTAGCTGGGGACGACGGGCTCTGGCGCACCAGTGRGGACTGGTGGAGATTGAAGGCCAAAGCTATAGGCAGCAGACAASATCATGCCYGGAGGACAAGGATCTGGTAGRRAAAARGAAMCTGCAGTTGCAGAGAACATKGAGGAGATTAAAAAATCCTTGAACTATATGTCGGCTGAGCTCACTAATCTARCTTCACAGCAGGAAAAGCTGATCGGCATGATGGAAGAAGTTAAGACATTGGAACTGATGGTGCAGGA